TTCACAAAGGAGCAGATTTGTAAGTGGTTTTTTTTTAATTGTATTCTCTTTTATATGGTGATAGCACACCATATAAATTCTTGCACCTTTACTTTTTTCACTGAATGATTTAAAAGTTCCTAGTATTATTAAAAGTATCTTTTTCAAAAAGTATATTTCCAGGGTATATTCCTGGAAATGGAATTTCTTTTTTTTAATTTTTTAATGTTTATTTATTTTTGAGAGAGTGAGAGACGGAGCACAACCAGAGGGAGGGCAGAGAGAGAGGGAGACACAGAATCTGCAGCAGGCTCCAGGCTCTGAGCTGTCAGCACAGAGCCTGACACAGGGCTCAAAATCACAAACCGCGAGATTATGACCTGAGCCGAAGGCAGATGCTTGACCCACTGAGCCACCCAGGCACCCCTGGAAATGGAATTTCTTAGTCAAAATTTAATATATATGTGCTCATGGTTTTCACTTTCTCTGTCTATGGAAATGCCTTTTAGGGGGTTAATGTATTTTCTTGATAATGATATAAGTTACTGGATTATAGCTTTTAACTTGTGTAATTTTTTTTAGAATTTAACTATTTTTGTTAGTTGTACTTAGCACATAAAAACGTATAGTCAAACTGCATTGAGATTAGGAATTAGTCTTGCATAATTTATCTCTTTTCAAGGCTCCATAAATATCATTGTAATGTGTCAACAGCCCCTAGTGAAGGTAGTAATCACACATTACATTTGCAGCCCTATCATCCCAGGTGCAATCTACAAGTTCATGATCACCAATAGAGAGTAGGCAGTTCAGGAGCTCTAGCAGTGACATAATGACTAAATACTTATATAATGCTCTCATTTTCCCGGAGCATTTTATTTTTCAAAACTCTTTAAAGTCTTTTCATTTTATATCAACTGCACCACTGTAGAATGCTTTGGGAAAATATCACATAAATCATGACATTTATGAAGTGCCGAGCCCCTTACATGTATTATGTCATTTGAACCTCAGACCAACCCCGTGAAGTAAGCAGGACATATAGTCAACATCCCCATTGTCCAAGTGAGGAAGCTGAGACTCAGAAAAGTGAAATATCCTGAGGTCAGACATCTACTAAGTAGTGAGCCTGGAAATGAACTTGAGACTGTACCACACTACAAGTGTCATGGGTAGCTTGTGAAGAACAATGAAAAAATATTCAAAGGTAGGATATAGTCACAAAGATGTAAATTGTTCTATATATTCTGGAATTTACAGGTTCTGGTGGACTGTGTTTTATGGTCACCGTGTTTTACTTGGCTCCCTGCAAGCTGTAATGGTTAAGTCCTGAATGGTGGTAAAGGGGAAAAATACATTCTGTACACATGCAGGCTCCTCAACCACCCGTGTGCTGCTATGGTAGAACCAACACTGGCCTTGGAGCCAAACTATCTCGGTGTGTACCTTGGTTTTGCCACTTAGTAGGGGTGGGGCCTGGCTGAAGTATTTAACTTCAGTTTTCTACCATAAAATGAGTATTGTTTTTGCAGGGCTATTGGACAGATTAAAAGTAACTTCATCAGGAAGACTCTCCCTAGTGCCCACCCCCTGCCCCCCCTTCCCCCGCAAGTGTTATTCCTAAAGTAATCAGTCAGTTTCCTTCAGAACATTTGTTACAATTTAGATTTATATATGGTGGTGTGTTTATTTGCTTCACACCTGTCTCTCCTACTAGAATGTAAGTTAAAGGACATCAAGGACTCTGCTTGTTTTTGCTACTCTGTGTCTCTTATACCTACCTACTCCAGTGTCATTAATCATTGAATAAATATTTCTGAAATAAATCCTGCCACTTCTTGGCCTTGTTTTTATTTCAGCTGCACAGAATGGCCTACAGCTGCCCTACCCTTTCACATCTCTCTATGCTTTCATATGCTGTTTCCTTAGCCCAACATACTTGCCCAAGCTCCTTTGTTCTCCTAGAGAATCCTTACTCATCCCTCAAGACCTAACTCAGCTCTTCCATGAGAGCGCCTATGATTTCTCTTCTCCCTTGAAGAGTGAGGGGCTCCGGTGCCCCCTTGGCATGCTTCTGTAGTAGACCCAAACCATATTCCAGTCATTGGTGCGTTCCACTAATACTTTTAAGAACTACCTCCGTACCAGGCACAGGCTAGGGGCTGGGCATACAGCAGTGAATAGGAGCTGTCATACTTATGGGAGAGATGGGCTACAACAAAGTGAATAACCAAACAAATTAATAATAGCGTTTCCAGTAGTGGCAAATGATAGAGTGATCCATTTTGAGAAGCTGACCTTTGACTTGAGATCTGAGAAGCGAGAATGAGATAGGAATGGGAAGAGAGGGGGGATGAGCATTGTATTGTCACTATTTACTTGGGTGTTCCTCATTTCCACCCCACTCAGCTGGCCTCTGAGCTCTGAATCTTTCTGTCCCCAGCACCTAGCACAGTCCCCTCATGTCACACCCACGGTTCCACTTCCACACGCCAGTGGTGCAGCATGTTAGAACTGCCTGGTGACTGGCCCCATGGTTCTGACTTAGTAGATCTCATGTGCAGCCGGGACTGAGAGCCTAATTCTCAGCCTATTATCCCTCACTTAGTGTCTTGTGACAGGGAAGGTCATTCAGTCTTTCTGTGACTCAGTTTTCTGATCTTTAAAATGGAAATAATAATAAAACTTCATAGGGTTTCTGAGAGGATTTAATGAAATAATTGCCTAAAATTCCTAGCCCAGTGCCTAGCCCATGGATAGTCAATAGACATTAGACAAAATGCTCTAGAGCAAGTACTCAGGAGGTGTTTGCTGAATAAATGAACAAGTTAAGGAATAATAAAGTTCAGTTCTTACTTTACGGTATAGAGCTATGTCAAAACAAACATAGAATGCCCTGATTTATCTTCAGTTGTCTTGTTTACTGCTTATTTTAATTTGGACAAGAAAGGAAAAAGAGGGAAATAATAAACACCAGTGTTCTTAGCAGTTAGAATCAAAAGCTATTGACTCTTCATTTGCTTATAAAGCAGCTTCTAAAAAACTTCTCAGATCATTATTTTTATGTTTTTCTGTCCGGGGCAGGGCTTGCATGTTCTAGCCTCAAACCTGAATAAAAGTCCACAATCTACCAACCTGGGGCCTTCTGCAACTTGTGATTTGTCATCTTCTGAAATTACAGTTTGAGATTGAAAGAAATTTCTTTTATGTATATTCTACTTCAGTCATCATAGGAGATCCTTAGGATAGCATAACTAGTGAAATTATGATGGTGCCAGAGATCATGGCTTTCTTAGGGCAGGGACACCGATGGGATTAACCTGGCATATTACTTCTACGCACAAAATATCATTCAGACCACTTGGCAAACCTTTGGCAAAACCCCCTCTACCCTGCTCCACTTCCTTGAAAACTAAATGTCAAACTAGCGGGGCGCCTGGGTGGCTCAGTCGGTTAAGCATCTGACTTGATTTCGGCTCAGGTCATGATCTCATGGTTTGTGAGTTCAAGCCCTGTGTCAAGCTCTGAGCTGACAGTGTGGAGCCTGGGTGGAATTCTCTCTCTCCCACTCTCTCTTTTCCACCTCTGCTTGTGCTGTCTCTTTTTAAGTAAATTAAAAAAAAATAACAAATGTCGAAGTAGGTGGGCAAAGGTGAAAGCATGAACAAATTCATGGCATGAGGAATTTCTAGGAAAAAAAAATTTGTGTCCTTCATCGCATTTTCACTGGAATACACTGAGATGATGGGTGTTTTTGTAAACCTTAAATATCAGGCTACTTAGGAGTGCTTTGATACTTGAATCATAGGCATGAATTTTCTAGTAAAAAAAAAATATTACTGAGGTAATTGGCAAAGAGATTTTGCCAAGTTCTTTTCTGTGAGCTGTAAGAGTTAACATTTATTTACGTGAGTAATTCACTCTGCTCTTATCAATCTAGTCAGTTGGAAAATATCATCCGCCTTTAATGTCACAGAAATCAACTCATCCTATCTTAGAATGAGGAAATAATTAGCAAACAATTTCTCTGTCCTTTTTAAAATGTGTGGCATTGTTTTCAGGGTTTTCTTTTACAAACCAATGCACCATGAACTTATTCTGGCTGGAGGTATTGAAATCTGTTTTTCTGCTCCACAAATGTAGAGGTGTGCATGTCTATCAAGTCAGAAGTCCGTAGCAAAGAGCCATCTTCACTGATTGGTCGCTCTGACAGGGTGCTGGGTAATGGAGCAGTGATAAGTGGTGCACATCGTAGATTATGGGATAAGCATCTGCCCTTTAGTAGTGGTCCAATGCTAAACAGTCAAGAAGACTAGAGATACTGATAGTTTTCAGATGACAGGCTTCATTTTATATGTTAATAGAAGGAAGACTTCTGATAATGGTGAGGAAATTCAGCATAACAAATGCATTCCCTTTACCGCACTGTAGCATGGCACCAATTAAGTTCAACTGTATGTATAATGTACTCTTAATTCCTAACAGTCCCAAGAAGGACTAATGTGAAAAATATTATATAGTCTTACATTTTACAGATCATGAACAGCTGGAAAAAATTATGCCAATCGGTAAAGAAATTTATATGTGGTATAATACACCTCAAAATGGTGCTTACATGGATTTTTCTTTTAAAAAATTTATTAAAGTTATCTTGGGTAAAGTTTAGTTTCTACTCAGCATTTTCTGTAACATTATATATATAATTCATTTTAATTTATTCCTTCTGCAGATATGAATGTTTGAAAGTACAGGTAACCTTGTAATGAGTAAAACTGATAAGAAGCTGTGTTCCAATGAAAGGGGAATTATGGAATGATTATTCACTTTGTGAAAGGGTTTGTCATAGAGCAAGCTTTCCTAAAGCATTTCAAATTTAATTTCGTTTACAAAACATTCATTTACACACAACATTTCAGGAACAAATTTACTGAGGAAATGAGAGAAATAGTCATAATAAGATAGAGATCCCATACACTGCTAACATTTATGCTTGCTTTCTCTCTTTCTGTCCCTCTCTGCAGCACTGATAGCCATTGGCCGGTACAGCATGACAATAGAGACTGTGGATGTTGGATGGTGTAAAGAAATTACAGATCAAGGAGCCACCCTGATTGCGCAGAGCAGCAAATCTCTAAGATATTTGGGACTGATGAGATGTGATAAAGTAAGAGTTACCTATCAAGTTTGTAGTTAATAGCTTTCTATCATATTCTCTCTCTCTCTCCCCCTATATGTATGTATGTGTACGTGCACATACATGTACTGTTACAGTTATGCATTGCAAGATGCCTGGTTTTCTAAACTAATCTGAGGTTATTTTTGCATTTTTCTATTTAAAAATGAATTTTGTGCTTATGCAGAAAGGAAAAGCAATCATACGCACAAATTATATTTGGCCTCCTGTCCCTAAGTCCACGGACCAAAATTAAAAGTGTTTGCACATCACACAGCAATGTGCAGGGTCTAACGGTAAAATTCTTTTCTGGATTCCAAGTTTCCTGCAACAGTAAGGTGGAAAGAACAGTGCCAAACTGGTTTTTCACAATTTGAAGTGTGTGGTTTCAGTGCTCAACATGTATGTATTGTGGCCATCTGGGGGCAAGAAAGGGCCAGTGAGGGAATATTATGTGGGAATTTGTGCCTTTCTGCACTTAAGATGTCACTTTTAGTACATGATGAGAAATGGTCCCAGAGGTCCCACTGAAGGTGTGTGGCACTGGCCAGAGATGTGAGTGTGAGTTTGGGAAATTGTGCCACGTTTAATATGGGGCCCTTGAAGACTACGAAGGAAAATGATAAAAATCTGTATTGATCACCAAGTACTACCGAGATGCTTCCATGTTTCCCCTGTAAGTCTAAGAAGTGGTTATTTGTGCTATGAACAGGAGAAAATGGAGACTTAGTGAGACCAGACCCTGGCCTGAGGCCTGTCATCCAAGATTTTACCACAGGTCTCCAGGGTCTGGGCCCAGTGCCCGTGGCACACCCTGGGTGCCGTCTCCAGGCACGGGGTCTGCCCCCTGGGAACAGATCCACCTCAGACACTTTCTCAGAAAGTGCTAGCATCTTATAATAATTTACACATGTGTGCTACTTTTGCAACTGGTGATTAGGGACAGATCTAGCAAAAGAGAGTGAAACTAAATATATATGTCTCTCAAAGGACATGCATTTTCTAAATGTACCAAATTTGGGGGCTAATAGAAGAATGGCCCAAATCCTTTGTGTGCTTTTGTCATTTTTGTTAATTGACCTAGTTCTTTTCTCCAAATGCTTTAAATGCTTTAAAATCCCAGCTTATACTAGGCCTTTGCCAGTTAGTTATGTTTAGAGAGATTTTACTATATATTCTCAGCCCAGCCTAAAAAGCTGGCTGACTTTGTTACTAAGCAACAGCACTTAGACCCAGGGGTTGCAAGTCTCCCTCAGATTTCACCACTAACTAACCTAATGCTGCTACTAACCCTTTCACTTTAAAATGACTCCTCTGAGGGGCATCTGGCTGGCTTAGTCAGTGGAGCATGTGACTCTTGATCTCACAAGAGTTGTGAGTTCGAGACCCATGTTGGGTGTAGAGATTACTTAAAGAATAAAATCTTTTTTTTTTTTAAAGACTTCTTTTAAAACAAGTTAAAGAATCTACAGTAGGTGGAGTATTCTAGAAACGTTAAACAATGACAGCAGCTTTGCTCAATGTCTGCCAGAAGAAACTGCTACTACCTGGGTACTACCTGAACCAAGGACGCCAAAATGTATGCGTTCAAAACGGATCTGTATATCCACAAGCACTCTTAGAAATTACCATATTTCTAGTCTGTACTCCTTAGATTTGTTGAGGTCAGCTCCACCTTCAGAGATGAATGGTAAAAGTTTATGTTCCAGTTAGTACAGGAGAAGATTATTTCCGACATATTTGCTGACCAGCATTTTGCTTATTTTAAGTTAAGGAAAGGACCCTTTTCTACCCAGATGCAAATTAGTCCAAAATGGGATGGGGAGGCTGTTCTGATTAGTGGGCTCCCTGAGAGAGCGTTAGTCCTTTCCTCTGGCGGCCTCTGAATCCTGTCTCCAACCACTGAACTGCTCTGAGAGCCTCTGGCTCCAGCACCATGCTGTCTGCCCATAGCCTGCTGTGGTGCGGCCCAGCCCAGAGGATGCTGGGGCCAGCCTTACTGCCTGGCGTCGTTAGGCTTAGGGCAGCTCAGAACCAGACACAAGAGGTTCTGTGAGGACAGAAGAAGTTTCCAAGCCACCCACAAAGTGCAAATAAAGCCTTGCACATAATCGCTTGTTTGTTGATTTAGTTGGATGGAAACCTAGAGTAAGTAGCTACTCAGCTTTCAAAATTTGTGTTATGCAATCTGTCTCCAGATTTTAAATTTTTATCAAGACTCAAAGTAACAATGTGAGTAACAAAGAGGTTAATAGTTGAGGGCATGGGTTCAGAGGCCAGAGTTAGGTTCACATCTGGGCTCTGCTCTTAGTAGTGTTATCTTGGGCAGTTACTCAGTGCCTCTGTTTCCTCATTTGTAAAATGAAGATAATGATAGTACCTGTCTTGTAGAGTTCTGTGAGCATTTAAGTGAGTGAACATATACCAAGCCCTTAGAATAATCATGTTTGTTATATATAAAATACTCAGTTCTACTGATTATTCTTATCATCAATGTCATATTAACCTGTGTTTTGATATTTGAAATTTCCAAATGAGAAAAAATTGTACTGCCTACTGTCTGATTTTGAAAGGAAATTAGACAGGAAAAAATAAACTAAGATGAGAAAAGATGCTGCCCTTTTACTTTTTCCTCAGTTAAAATTAAGGTTATTATTTTCTATACTAAGATGTCAAAATTACATTTTTTTTTTTTTACATACTCGACAAAGGAAAACTAATGCCTCCATAGGACAATCTGTATTTAGAATCAACCTACTAACCAGGGTGTAGGGATAAAGAAAGATTTGCAGGGTGAGAAAAGGCTGAATTGAAGAGAAGACAATTCAAATAGGCAGGGAAACAAAAAGAGAGTAATAAGAAAATAGTGGAGAAAAATAAGAATAAAAATAGAAAACACAGAGAAATCATGATCAGCATATGGACATGAAGACCCACGATTTATCTCAAGGTGAGCATCTGTGCCAACCAATAATTGAAGAACAAAACTATTTGGGTCTATCACTCTTCTCTCTGTCCCTTAACCAAATCTGCTAACCGTTAAGTCATCAATTTGAGCTCTTCCCCTTTCTGCACACCAACTGGATCCAAAGGAGGAGCAAGAAACCTCAATGGTCTACACCATTAACCCCCTTGTCAGGAATATTGTCACTGGGATCTCTGCGCTGGGGGAAAGATGGGGTTTGTGATGTCTTTGTGTCCCGGGCTTGTGATCTGCGATCCTGTAGTTCTGCGAAATAGTGAAGGCAGTTATATTTTCTTTCACACATAGCCAGTTTCATTTGGGGCCACTTATATTTAATTTGGAAGCTATACTTTACCGAACTTGAGCTTTTTTCCTCACTTGGGCTTTTGAGGAATTGAAAGAATGACGAAATGCATTGCATTTGTTGTAGGAAAAGGTGTTTTCCTCCGTCTCCCTGTTCTTTCTCTCTCTCATTTGGTAAACAAAGAACAGATGAGAAACATTCACCATATTCTTAGCAAATACAAGCAACGTGCGCTTAGACTGTCAGACAACTTGTTTGGCTACAACATTGGTGACTAGTAGGGAGGAGTCCTCCAGCCATTCCACAAATGCAGCATTCCCTGAACACTTGTAAAACTAGGAAGTGCGTTAAGAAGCCCGTGTTTGAGTAGCTGTTCCGATTGCTGGATGGATAAGCATGTTAGAGGCATTACTTTGAGTTTTAAAGCCGACGCCACTTAATCTCCTAAACTTCAGTGCATTGTAAGAACCAAGAGAAGAAAACGCTGTGTGAGACGGCTTTGATGAATTGGGGTGAACTTATATTCTTAAAGACTGTTCAAAGGCTTACTTGACCTTGGGAATTAGAGTTGACCCAAAATCACCTATCAACTTAACACGCATTTATTTGGTGATTTAGTTAAAACTGCTTGTATAATCAACGGGACTCTCTAATAAGAGTGATATGTTTACTCTGCTTTCCACAATTATAGACAGTAGGTGGTTTTGGTCAGAGAATATTTTCACAACCTTAGAATAGAATATTCTGTAGAATTCTAGAGTCCATATAGATCTGTTTCTTCTCATAATAGGATATTTTCCTCATTTCTTACAAGGCCGTTTGGATGGAGAACAAAACTGAAAAGGACAAAAAAAAATCATGGGAAAGCTGTAGGGCAAATGGAAACGCAATGTTCAAGGTTAATGAAAAATGTTTGGGGTAACAGGGTTGATGAGAAGGGAGGGAGCCCAGTGGCATGGCATTGGCTGAGAAACCAGACCTCGCCAGAGGCAGCCTGGCTGGTTTGGGAAACCTCGGTGATAAAAAGTCGTGGTGGAAACCTCTGCAGTGTGTGTTAATACAGAAGTTCGGAGACAGAGGGCCTGAATTATGAGCAGCGAATAACATCATAAATGTAGCAATTCTCAAATGCCAAACCCTTGTGAAAAGCAGTTGGATGAAGAAATGCTGGAGCTTTTAAAAGCTCCCTTTCACTTTCTTTCTTTCTTTCTTTCTTTTTTTTTAAACTTCATGCAGAACTAATTTTACACACTGTTCATTTGATTTGAAAATGCCAGCGTCTGGGGTATCATTAAAGAGCGTTATTGAGGGAGCCACTCTTGGCAAAGCATTTGGCTTAAAAAGCCTATTTGTTCTTATGTCCCTGGAGAGTTGTAGATAGGAAGGAGAAAGTGCACCTCAATTTACCTAACGCTGCCCCTCTGCCTACGCCGGGACCAGGTAGCTGCCCTTCTGTTGGGAGGAGGCTCCTTCTCCTTGGCCTCTAGAGGCGCCAGGAGGGTTGTGGGGGCCACATTACTGAAGGAATAGACGCAAATAGATTTTGAAAGGTCCACCCCAATGTCCTATGACCAAAGCCTCTTGGAATTTCTTTGATTTCTAGTTGACATAAATTAGAATTACACAGGCGTGAAGAGTCCGCCCAGAAAAGATCAGAGAGGCTGCTGGGGGAGGAGAAGCCTCTGTGTGATCCTATTGATTATCCAGCTGCCTTCAGGCCAG